CCCAACCATCAGGCAGCCATATTAAGGTTATTTATATGCACCACAAGAGCACACTACATGTTGAAGGTGGTCCACAAGTAAGAGGGAAAATGTTAGGGGGTGATGCTCATGTAGAACGAAAAATGAGGCAAAACTTACAGAAATAGCAGAGAAAAATAAGAGAAACAGAAGAAAGTTGAAAGAGGAGGTACGGATGAACTTCTGAAATTTTGACAGAGTCTCTGTCAGGTAAAACTATGGCTAGAGATAGAGTAACAAAAATTTTTCCATACCGTGCTGTTGTTCCCTGTATTATATTTATATAATTAATGCAGTATAACAATGAAAGGAAGTACCTACGCCAAATAAGTTTCTGAGAAAGGCCAGAGACACTGCTGACACCCTACTGCAAATGCTGTGTTACATCTTTTTCTGCAGGTACATTTTAAGACATAAAATTAACGTTAATCTGCTTCAAGTAAACCAGCAGAAAGTTTTCTGAATGAGTGAGCTGACTCGGTAATTACAACAGCATGGAATATCACGTGTCCTCTGTCCATATGACTCAAATAGAGACACACATACTCACAGCACAATCTTTTTTTCTCCTGTCCACATTTATAGGGTCATTAAAATAGCAGGATTAGAAATTCCAGGTAGAAAATATAACTTATTTTTATCTCAGAGTTTGAATGATACTCTGGGATATGCCTCCCTCTTCCTTCACAAATAACATGCCTATTTGAGCACACCAGTCTTAAATAACTGATACTATGAGCAGATGGATACAGCCCTCATCAAAATACACCCCAGCACATTCAGCCCCCTTCTCAATACATACTGTCTGAAATCACCCTCTCTATAACAAGCAGCTGTGTAAACAACTTACATTTTAAATTACATTTTTTCAATAAGAAGTGATGCTTCTATTGCAGCTAGAAAGTAATGGGACAAAAACCCCTCAGATCCCCAAGAGATTTACTTTACTCCCTGAAGTAGAGCTGATCTACTTTGTTGAATACAGCCACAACTCCAGTATTAGCTCTGTGATGACGTTTATCTTCCATATAAATTTTTGAAAAGTCTGTAGATAAACAAAATTGTACCAAAAGTTGAAACTTTCACAAATTTCAATAAACAATCATTATCACTTCAATAACTCACTCTTTTAGAATCACTCTCATGTTTAGGTTTGAAGCCTTTTACCAAAGGGGTTACACTGTTTCATTATACAAATGCGTACACATGATGGAGCATATTTATGCATTATATTTAATATACCATTTATTGGTTTGAAGATAACACTGTCATACAAACATTACTAATATTTCCAAGGGTACAGAAATGCTCCACATATGGAAAAAAATATTCAAAATTTACTCTTTGCATTGTCATTCCTGACGTATCAATGTTTATATGATCAAGGAGGTCCACTGATATTTTAGCTCTTAATGCAGTATAGAGAGTAAGAAAGCTGAATCTGTGATCGGATGGATATACCTCTTCCTTTAAGCTCCTTTCTTATGACGAGGTAAAGCAAAGTAAAAATGTGTCTAATACTACTCCTGACTGAAATGAGGACTGATAAGACTACTAGTCACGGGCTTCCAAGTTATCAGAGAAGCTCAGATTCAAGCTCAGCATCTTCTCTCTTACTGGAGGCTCTACATGGTGACATGGATGGAAATGGACCATTAACTTGAATAGCCTGGACAACTGCTTGCTTCTTGGCATGACCCCTTCTGTAAGTAAAGAATCTATGTTATTAGAAACAGCCGATCAGTCTTGTGACTTAAATGCTGACTCTCTCTTAATATATTACAAATCAGAAATGTGACCCTCACATAAAAAGGCTTTACTCTTACTGGTAAACCCAGTGCACTGCAGATTAGGGGGGAAAGGCTTCCTTCTGCAGCTACATAAGAATCCCTGGGATTTGAGTTAATCTTACTTTTTTTCCCAAGTGAAAAATTCTTCCAACTTACTGGTAGACTAAAATGTTGTGTATTTTCTGCTAGTAAATAAACAAACTGCATTTTACTCAGTGCATTTTTATATTAGTGGCTGAGTACTCAGAATGCACTTTACTAGCTTACAGATCTGACCACAGGTGCTTGCCATGCAGATTTCACCTCCCTGAGGCTGTGCTTCAGTGTATCGGGTAATTTCAAGCAAGACAGTTTTACTTACTCTTCTGGTCTGAATGTTTCCTCTTACAACTTTATTTCCTCTTATTTACTCCTCAGGTTCCTGCCAATGAGCAGTTTTTACAACCTTTTCTCTGAGGACTGGCATTATGCTTACTGCATAAGAAATGCATTTCTAGAGCTGACCTGTAACTGCTGCTCTGCAGACAGACTACAAGGCACAAGTCTTCGTCTATTTTGCTGTAAAAACAGGTTTTTTGAGTGTGGAATAGTTCCTACATGAAAAATACCCATTTTATGCGACACTGTATGCTGTTTAACAGGTGGATAAAACAAAAAAACTAGTGTATATTCCAAAATAAAAGACATCTCTGAGTAGGTCACGGAAGTGGAAGGTGCAGTAAAGGAAAGCAACCTGGTAAAAGGATAGTCTACAGTAAGACTTCAAAACATCCAGTTTCTGAAATCTGTCTTCTCAAATCCAAATCTAGTTTTGCAGTAAAGCTAACAAAAAGCAAACATTACTTAAAAGCAACTGACAGGAAAGAGTTTCCAGTTCCTCTTTCGTACAGTTTCTCTTCACTGGGTTTACAGATCCACACCAGTGAATTACTAACCAGAAGTAGTATCAAAAACACAGTTACCATAGTGACGAGGCATAGTTTTAAAAGATATATGGCTTGGAAACAAAAAACAAACAAAACCGTGCCGACACCGCAACAGATTATTTTAAGTCACTAGCGCACACAGTAGAACTTTCTACAATGTTTAGTAGTACAGCTGCAAGTCCAGAATAATTTCTGTCTGTCTTAGAGTAGCACTATCTCTGCTTGATACAAAAAGCAGAATTCACAAACTGTCCCCAGACTGCTTGCCTGGTATAACATAGCATACTACATGAGACGGGAGCCAAAGTTTTAAGGAAATGTTAATAAAGCACTAGAATAAATAACAAATAAAAATAAGTAACAAAGAATTCAAATTTAATCACTCTGTTTAACTGCACTTTTATATAAAAATCACATCTACCTGCCAACATAAATTTACACACTTTGCTAACAGACCTATTTCTTACATAAAAGAGGTATCATGAGGTCAAGACATCCTATAGTCTGAGAGGTGCAGTACATGACCTTCAAGACAGAAGATTACAGCTATGGTTATTCAAGGAAATGAATTTGTAAGAAGGGCAAAAGCTGAATTTGCAACGGAAAATCAAATACACTGTGTGATATTAAAAAATAAATGAAAACATTTTCTTTTGAAAGTTTAATTATATTGCTGAATCGTTTTAAGAGACAAAAACATATAGCTGTAAGGTTAACATCTTTTGTAGGACTGAAAAATAGCCAAGGGAACCTTTGGTGTTTATATTTTAAATGTTGCTGGGAAAGAGTTATTGTTTTGATATACTCAAGTTGATTTATTCTGATGCCCTACAGATCCTGTATACACAGATCTGGAATTAGAACTGTATGGAAGAGCTGCTAAAGCAATAGCAGAAATGTGCACTGGACCACAAGACTGTCATAAACACTGTCTTCCCATTTTCTTTACAATCGTTGCACTGCATTTAATGTGCAACAAAATCCTTTGCCCAATAGGTACAATGATGTTGACAAATGGAAAAGTCTCCTAATTTATTTAAATTCTTGCCTCATCTATCTTAATTTACACCACAACATCACAACAATGGCTTCAATATTTGGCATATTTTTGGTTTTTTTGGTGTTTGTGAAATAGAAGCATATTCGCATGCGGTGTCAGAAAGTGTTCCAGTTCTACTACACAGTTTCAGCTTTGCTGCTAAACTTGGAAAGATGGGCACATGCGTAGATATGCACGGAAGGGCAATGAAGGAACTATGAAGTCAACACAGCTGCATTTAAAAGAAAACACACACCATTTTTCATGACCACTCTGTCTAAATGGCAAATTTTCACTTGTAAATTATTAGCTGTGTTTAGTTTGATAAAAAGCGAAGTGTCTGTTTTTCAGATAGCAATAGTATGGCTCAACTTGGCCACAAAAAATCTGCCTTTTAGAATTTTTAATTGTGTGATCATATTAATATGATAGAACACACATATGTTTATATAGGTATTTCAGAAACAGCTAGTCTTTCTGTCTCATAACTCTGTTTTCCATGCACACATAGGTGGAAGCCTAAAAGAAATAGTGTGTTTCCTCTCAACTTGAGCCAGTCTGTGGCTCTTGAAATAATTAACGCCAGGCTTCCTGATCCTCAATGAACTTAACTGAGGTTAAGTAAGTATAACCTATAGTAGTGAAGGATGAGGAAGGATAAAGTTTTCTAACAGCTTGTCCTTGTCTAATTCCAACCTGGTCTCTCTCTGCTTACCTTGTGGATAACAGAGGGCGATGGCTTGAAAAACAACATGGTGTTTTGAAGATTCTCACCAAGCATACACATCTTTAAATCAGCATACATAATCAAGTCAGATTTTGTCCACAGTAGGAAAATGGATATAAAACTTATTTTGAAGGTTGTCTTGCCTTGTCTTACCACACAGGGGAAAAAAAAATATATATATCAAAATTAATTTCTCCTACGTGGGAAGCAACCTTGAAAGTTTGTTTAATTAATATATAGCCCATAATATCATCAGTAATACAACATTCTTATACTATCCTGCAATTTTTTGTTTTTGTTTTAAACACTTATATGTTTGTCCGAATGCTGTACCCCCATAAATTCTGATGTGTTCAAGTCCTGTGGAAATCCTCTGAAGATCTAAAAAAATATACTAATATAACTTTCCACTGCAACACAATTGGTACAGAAGGGTATAAACTGAGAAAATCTAATTCAGTCTTTCTATCTTCAGTTTGTCTATGTTTATTTGCAACTACCTCTGATGTTTTGACGTCCTCATAAGAAAACCGCGTGGCTGGTACTCCAAGATGGTTGATGAAATAATCTGAATCCCCCTGTATCTGCACAGAACTCACATTAGATCTGGGACATTTTGTCTTTTCCATACAGTTGAAGCTCTGGCTCTGAAAAACAAACACAAATGAAAATTCTACTTACTTACTTGTAAGCAGATTCTGCCAACTCATGTCAATATCTAACATTTGCACAGCTTGCATAGGCCTGAAGCGTTTTAAAAACAGGCCAGAACTTAAAACTGGTGCAAACAGGTGTTAGCTGATTCATACTTAGAAGGAAGTAAGGCTACAAATCCTTCATCCTCTACTGATACACATTAGAGTCTTTGGGATAGCACATAGCAGAGAATGAAGACTGGGCTGCCATGAGGCTGAGTCTTTCAAAAAGGACAGTGAATGTCATACTTAATTAAAATGGTAGGAGGGGCAAGGGAGGGGAAGAAGCCTTTGGTAAACATGTGAAATTACCCATACTGAGCAGATGGGAAGTTATCACGCTGCCTTTTCAGAGCATGCTAAGAGATCTTTAATGTCTAGAAAAGGAATCCGTTCTTTACTCAGGTGATAGCACACTCTCTAACAACAAAAAGTTGAACCAGATCATCATATATAAAATATCCACAAACCATGAAAAGCTGGCAATATAAAGAACTTGCTGCCATTGTAGACTAGGGGTTAAGAGAAAAATGGAATGAAAAGACTGAAAATACATAAATATGCATTTTCTGGGTAATTGCTTAAAATAATTCTACCTAGTGACATGTTTACATTTCTTCCACAGAAGTATTTAATGCTGAAATCTTAGCAATGTAACTGCAATAAATGTTAAGATGAAAGCTGGAAAATAATCCCAAGACTAAGTATGAGCACCACATAATAATTTAGCTTCAAATTCAAATACACTAGGATATTAAACACTTAGGCCGTAGGCACAAAAGCTTTTAACACATTATAGAAGACCGTGGTTTTTTTGAAGACTCTTAAAAGGGTTAAAGTACTACAGATTATTTATATTAGGCTGGCATAATACAGTATAACATGACTTCCTCAGACCCACCTACTAAATCACTAGCTTACTACAAGAATAGCATGAGATTTGTCCTCCTTTAATAGTAACATACACCTGATTTTATGTATTAAAGTTCCGGGGTTTAGTATGGAAATGTTTTAAGAGTTACAAAGTGAGTCAAATCTTAGTATTAAAACTTCACAGTTTTGCCTCAGTGCTATGAAGCATGCAATTAGATACTACTATCCAGTATGAGTAAGGGCCCAGATTCTCACTCTAAGCTATTTTAAAACAACTTCCCGAAATAGCTTCCATTTAATGAGTATTTTTTGAAACGTGGCTATAACGCTATACTCTCTCTCTTTTGTTAAAAGTTTCTCCTCCCCCCATTCTTACATTCATGCAGGGCACAGCAGTGTGAAAATCCACCTAAAAAGACTGACCTTCATAGTCAAAGGAGAAACAAAACATCTCTTCTGCATGTATAGTCTACCTCTTCGTGAATTATATCCCCTCTAAAGATATCAATGGAACAACATGATTTGCAGCAGCAAAAATCCTGGCTTTGTATGCCGTATTAAGAAAAAAAAATTAGAATGAATTAAACAGTAGAGTAGCAGCAATATTAGATGTCACTTTTAAGTCACAGTTGTTAAAAAATTTCAGATAGAAGGTTTTTTTTTAATTATTTTTTTAAAGATTTTCATTTAATTTTTCCTTAGACTTTTTAAAAAGATTTTTAACGTGATGGCATCTCTTTAATTACAACTTTTGTTTCTCTGCTTCACTCAGCACCTCCTTTACAGCCTTTAGAAGGAAGTTTTCACACACATTGCAAAGTCATGTAACAGCATCCCAGTATGGCTGTCCAAAGACATGCAAATCGACCCACTGTCTACTATTATGATATCAGCCAGATCCTGTACTGCAAGTGTCGGGACAGGTGGTCTGTTGATTAAGGTGCTCAACTTTCTTGTGATTGACCAAAAAAGATAAAGCAAGCTCTGTTTTTCAAATAGTTGGGTTTCTTGGCCACATACTGCAGTACAAAGCAGTCTGTGTTTCACCATCACTTTCAATGTCTTCACTCTGTGGGCTCCCTAAGACTGAACAGCTATTCTATCACATAGTCTCATTACGGTCAGCAACCTCGTATTTGAAAGACTGAAGTTACAGCTGAAATAGCAAAAGCCCAGAGTATATACTCATTTCAATGGGTACTTTTAAATAACCACAGTTAACCTTCTTCAGTCTTTCAAAGTCAGAAACACTTTACAGTACACATCAACACATAAAAACATGCATATAAGTTTACACACAGACATGTACAGAACACTTAAGTGGTTGTTACTTTCAGGAATGTTAGGAGGTGTAAGCGCTAGAAAGTGCTGGCAGACTATACTATGATGTAGCTCAGACTACATCCTAACTTCCTTACAGTAGCTAACACATCCGGCTGTTTCATAAATAATGACGGGTAGTCAGTTCTTCCTTTAATGTTTAAAAGTACACTGAATGATGTGAAACACCTTTTAGGTTCAATAGGAAATCTCTGAAATACATAAAAAACATAATTACCTAACAAAGAAAATCACAAAGTTAAATGACCAATGACTTTCTTATAACACAATTCAGTATCAGAGACAAACAGAGCAGATGAGATACAATGACCCAAAAGTAAGCTACACACTAAATGGAAGAATCCCTTTTTTTCCAGAAGACCTGATCCTTGTCCTCATTAAACACGATGACAGGAAAGCTCTTCAGGCTAGTGCTACTGAGTAAAGTCCATCTACTCAGGTTAGGAATTTATGCAACTTCCTAGCGCAGCTATTCAGAATTAATCTTCTAGAGTTAATCAACAGAAGTGATACCTGGTAACATGGTAAGAACCAACATAAGCTTAATAAATACCTCACAGAGGTAAGAAAATTGAGCAAGGAAACAGATGTAACTTTTTTTTTTGAAATCTAAATCTTTATACTTCTCAATCCATTAAGTAAACATTAACCCTTCATTTAAGAACTCTTTGCAAAAATTATTGTTTTCTATTTATTTATATCTAGAATTTGTTATGGGACTTTCAGATAAGGCATACTGTAAGCTGCTGACTGAAGGTCAGAGTGGACCTGGAATTTTTATCTGGAATTCCAGACTGAAGATGATAAAGACGGCTTTCAGCAGTCGATGAAAAAAAGAAAGGGGCTATGAACCTTGTTTAGACTCACGACACCTAATCCAGATGGAGGCATGCACTACCAGATGCCTTTCTAAAGAAGAAGGGGCAGATATATTACTTATATGCTAATATAAAATTATTTCCTCTGTTCTTTTTTCTAATTCTGGGAACTCTGCAATAGAACCTATTAAATCCTCAATGCCTCTTGAAAACTAGAAGATCTACATCAGGTTGCCAGTGGGCTTAATTTTCCAACACACAGGTTGGACAGTTTGCTCTCCTTTCAGATTTTACCACATTTACATAAGACATTACATTTCCATTAGATTTTTGTCTAGTACTTACGAATACGAACTTTACCTTCACTGGATCCTCCCCACCGTGTCTCCAAATCATTTATGATATACTGCAGGAACGTACGGTCATATTTTCATCATTTATTAATTTGCTAATGCATTTAAGTTACTTTATAAATCATTCTTTCAGTTTTTGCTATTCAAGTTCCTGATTTTCATAATATTGCTAGATTTTATAAGATACACACTTATGTGTTATATTGTGCAAATGACTTCTGAAATAGTACACTTGAAGAAGTATTCTTTTCCCAAGATTCTAGGCATTTTTCCCACATCAGATATCAGTGTTACATTCTTTTTTTAAAATCTTGTACAAGTATCTGTTCAATTTCAGATTAACCGTGTAAATACGACCAAAACGTCATAGAGAGGATACTGTCTCAAACAGATATAAGATATTATTCATTCCTTTTTCACAGCTATCTTGAGTCTGATGCTTTCAGACATTTTAATTATAACATCACATACATCCTGGCAGTATTTAATTTCATATAAAAGTCAAATAAAACATAAAGACATACAGAATTTGAAAGAAAAGTTTCCATTTACTTCAATAGCTTCTGGAGTAGATTTTAAAGTGGACTTGTTTCTGGGAGAGCAATTAGGAACTCAAGGAGATTGCTTATACACTTGAGTGACAATAATGGAATTCACGTGTTTGAGAAGAAGCAAAATGTCACCGGAAAGTAGAAAGGGAAAACAAGGTTTCACACAATGAATAACATTTCACACACCGAATAACGTTTGAAACTTGAAATCTAATATGTGAAAAGTCAACTGGTGTACCTGCAGAGATCAGGTTCTATGGCATTTTCCATTATTGTCATCTCACCTATACCTTGAAATTTGTTGGCTTAGTGTCAAGAACATAAAAGGCTGCATCATTATTGTCATCCTACTAAGCAGATTAGTTTTACAATAAACCACCAAGGTTACAGAGCTTCCATATAGGTTAACTATGAGAAGAAATGGAAATATTTCTTCTACTGCAGAGATATAGCTAATTAACAGAGTATTTTGATACTGTTCCCCTTTTTGTACTGTTTCTAAGAGGTGGATATGATGACAGACTCAATTATTTTTGAATATATACCAACTCCCATTTCTGTTAACACACCAGGAATATGAGAGAGAGACCTTCCTTTCTTAGAAACCCCAGTCTGCCTGTTAACCAGCGCTCTGTCAATCAGAAAATACTCCACTACACCCCATTTTAACTATTCATAAATAATCTTTTACTTTCTTTCCCTCAGTATAACATCAATTAAGTAATTTTTAGGTATGAAACTAATATACGAAATGTTTAAATCTTAAATTAAGAGTACAATAACATATGGGGGGTGTGTTTTAGGTCATGTCCTTCATGGTATAATATTTCTATTTTTATGACAGCAATGTTCAAATCAATACTCCTAGTATTTGAAGAGTTTAACTGTGTTGTTCAGCTTCCACTGTCCTGACATACATGAATGCCTGATGATGACTAACACTGTATGTATAGTTCAACAATAAATATTTATTACTACACTAATATGGGAAATATTTTCATATGCAAAATACTATC